TGGGGCTTGAACTCTGGGCCTGGGCGCTGTCCCACAGCTCTTCAGCTCAAGGCTAGCGCTCTACCACTTGAGCCACAGCGCCACTTCTGGTTTTCTGGTGGTTTATTGAAGATAAGAGTTTCATGGACTTTCCTGCCGGGCTGGCTTTGAACCGCGATCCTCAGATCTCAGCCTCCTGAGGAGCTGGGATGACAGGCGGGAGCCACCAGCGCCCCCCCCCCGCTACTTTTTAATAAAAGCAGTCCTGGGGCTCGAACTCAGGGCCTCAGTGGTGCTCCTGAGCTCGTTCACGCAAAGCTACCTCTCTGCACTGGAGTCACAGCTCCCCTTCCAGCGTTTTTTGTTGATTCACTGGAGATAAAGAGCCTCACAGGCTCTCCTGGCCCGGGGTTGGCTCTAAACTCGGGTATTTAGCTGTCAGCTTCTTGAGTGGCTAGGATTATTACAGGCATGCGTCCCCATCGCCTGGCTAGACTTTATTTTTCGACATAGGATCTCACTGTGTAGGACAGGTTGGCCTCGAACTTTCCCTCCTCCTGCCTTAGCCTCCCGAGTGCTGGGATTACAGGTATCTGTCACCATGCCCCCTTCCTTTCCATAGACTGACCTTCCTTCCTTCCTTCCTTCCTTCCTTCCTTCTTCCTTCCTTCCTCTTCTTTTTCTTTTCCTTCTTTAAGGCTTCTTTTATCCATTCTGTCACCCCCTTTCTTGCCAGCCCAGTCTTACAGAGTCTCCTTGTTGGGGAAGGGTCAGCGGTGAAGCCGAAGCCCATCTGGCCCAGCTCACACAGGGAGACATTGTCAGGACCCAGAACACGCCTGAGCCTGGCACAGAGGGGCTTCTGAGACTCCTGGGCAGGGAACCCCACTTCCTCTGGACCCCTGCGTCCCTCTGTCTGGCACACAAGCTTCGCTCTGGTGTGTCCGCTCTGGGCTTTGTCTCCTGGCAGCCGCTATTTCCTCCCCAGCCTCTGCTGTGTGGCATTAAAATTAACCATTTCCGCCTCTGTGATCAGAGATTGTTGGCCAGAGTCACTCAGTCAGCCTTGGTGTTTCTTTCTGGAAGCTGATTGGCTGAGCCTGGCCAAGGTATCCGCCTACTGACCTGGGAAGTGCTCCTAGGATGTAAGGGTCACATGCCTGCCTACGCCCCCATGCTTTTGCAGAAGGAAGTGTGTGTGTGTGTATGTGTGTGTGTGTGAGAGAGAGACATTTAAAGAAAGGGGTGTGTCTGGGAAGCCCCCCCCAACTCTAACACTCCACTCACTCTGGAACTGTGGGCCTTGCTATACACTAAAGCTGAGATCTGAGGATCGCAGTTCAAAGCCAGCCCAGGCAGGAAAGTCCATGAGACTCTTAGGTCCAATGAGCCACAGAAAGCCGGAAGTGGTGCTGTGGCTCCAGTGGTAGAGTGCTCGCCTTGAGCTTACACTTAACTTGCATTCTGTGTGTGTGTGTGTGTGTGTGTGTGTGTGCGTCCTGGGGTTTGAACTCAGGGTCTGGGTGCTGTGCTCCTGAGCTTTCTCTCTCCAAGACTGACCCTCTATCACTCGAATCACAATTCCACTTCTGGCTTTTTTGCATAGTTCATTAGCGGTTAAGAGTCTCATGGACTTTTCTGCCAGGCTGGCTTTGAACCACGATCCTCAGATCTCAGCCTCTGGGGTTGCTGGGATTACAGGTGTGAGCACTGGGGCTCAGCTCCCTCTCATTCTTCCTATCAGTTAGCTTTCTGTGGAGGAGGATTTCTGAGGCTCAGAGAGGGCGAGGGGTCTTCCTCAGGCCACACAGCAAGTCTCAGTAGAGCTAGGATGGTGATGAGGTGGTCCTGCCTGTGGTAGAACCCCAGGCCCTCTGAGACCCTTTCTTCTCTTTTCAGGGTCCCCCTGGAAATCCAGGAATTCCAGGTGTCCCCGGAGCTGAGGGTCCCCCGGTGAGACACAGGGGTTGGGGACAAGGCAGTGGGGGAAAGGGGGGCTTTGGCGCTCTCGGATGACGTGGTTGGTTTCTCTTTCAGGGTCACCCAGGCCACGAGGGTCCCACAGGAGAGAAAGGGGCGCAGGTGAGTGAGCAGGACAGGAAGGAGGAGAAGGAAGCGGGGTCAGCAGTTGGCAGCCATTGCAGGGGCCGCGGGGAATGCTGGGATCGTGGAGGGGGTGGACAGGATGGCATCGACCGTGTTTTTCAGGGTTCTCCAGGATCCGCGGGCCCCCCAGGCTATCCAGGACCTCGGGGTGTTAAGGTAGGCGACACATGGGGTTTCAGGAGTGGGGGTGTAGAGGCGTGTGTTGTGAACTAGCTGGGTCGGACCTTGCCTGGTGTTTGTTGAGACGAAGCATTGGCCAGGCCAGGTGTGATATGAGCTGGAGTTCGAGTCCCAGCAATGAAACAACTTGTTTCCAGGGCCTCTCAGGCCGCAAAATCCAGCACCGGCCCAGGGCCCGTGGCTCACGCCTGTCATCCTAGCTACTCAGGAGGCTGAGAGCTGAGGATCGCGGTTCAAAGCCAGCCCGGGCAGGAAAGTTTGGGAGACTCATCTCCAATGAACCACCAAAAAACTGGAAGTGGCGCTGTGGCTCAAGTGATAAAGTGCTCGCATTGAGCTGAAGAGCTGAGGGACAGCGCCCAGGCCCAGAGTTCAGGCCCCACGACTGACCAAAAAGAAAAATAAATCCGTCACTGATCAAGTTCCTTAGATGGAAGTCTTTCTTTCTTTTTTTTCCTTCCTTCCTTCCTTCCTTCCTTCCTTCCTTCCTTCCTTCCTTCCTTCCTTCCTTCCTTCCTTCCTATTTTTCCTTCCCTCCCTCCTTCCCTCTCTCCCTCCCTTCCTTTTCCTTTTTTGCAAGTCCTGGAGCTTGAACTCAGGGCCTGGGCACTGTCCCTGAGCTGCTTCTGCTCAAGGCTAGCACTCTACCACTTAAGCCACAGCACCATGTCCAGTTCTTCTGTGTATGTGGTACTGAGGAATCGAACCCGTGGCTTCATGCATGCTAGGCCCACACTCTACCACGAAGCCACACCCCCAGCCCTTATTCTTAGTTATAATGAATGAATCATGCTTGATTCATTATTTTTGATGATTAAATATCCCTAATCTCCAGGTCTCATTTGCAAATCCAGCCCGCTCACAGGTTGTCTCCAAAAGCAAAGATAGTATAGGTAGGGCGCACTGCCGCCCGTGGCCCCAGCCATCCGCTCGGGGGTCTGGGGCGGGCAGAGAGGCTGCAAAGCGTAGGTTGTAGTTGAATTCTAGTTCCATGGTCCGGGAAGCCAGAGGCCAGGTGTAAACAAGCATTGTTACCTTGTGGATAATGGAATTTTCCCGAGCTGGAAATAGCCCGGAGTCTCTCCAGAGGCTTCCGTTGTACCAGGTGTCCCTCGTCGCGTTGGCTGAGCCGGGCTGTGTGTGGCCAAATGTGATTATCAGCGTGGTGAGAGCTGGAAGTGTCTAGCTCAGAGCCCTGCCTGTCACCAGCCAGAGTCCTTGTCAGGGATGAGGGGACATTTCTGCCCCCAAAGGACTAGGGACAGAGTGACCCTGCACATGAAATTTCCCCTTCCCAGGCTCATGATCCTAAGGGGATGCTGGTGGGGGGGGGAGGGGGAGGGGAGGGGCTGTGCCAACGGGGCCGGATTGGGGGGGGTGTACTTTTGGACTTATTCTGAGCTGTTTAGGGGCAAAAGGGGTGTGTGTGTTGGGGTCAAAGCCTAGAATATTCCTTAACCAGAGAAGGAGACTGCGAGTTTGTTTATGAATTTATTAATTAATTGTTCAGGGTACCTCTGGCAACCGGGGTCTCCAAGGAGAAAAAGGAGAGAGGGTGAGTAAAAGAGGGTTTTGTGGGAGGGGGTGGTGGCTTCAGGACCCCCCACAGGGGGGTCCTGGCTGAGGCTCTGACTTCTGGTCTCTCTCTTTCTCCCTCTTTCCCTCTCTCCCTCCCTTCCTCCCTCCCTCATCCCCCCCATCTCTCTCTCTCAGGGAGATGATGGCTTTCCTGGCTTCAAGGGTGATGGAGGGCTGAAAGGCGATCGGGTAAGCTGAGCTCCAGGCAAGGCTGTCCGGGACTAAGATGGAGCTTGAAGAGACAGAAAGGGTCCGGGAAGGTGGCTCAGCGGTAGTGTTTGCCTGGCATGCACGAAGCCCTGGGTTCGATTCCTCAGCACCACACACACAGAAAAAGCCACAAGTGGTGCTGTGGCTCAAGTGGTAGAGCGCTCGCCTTGAGCAAAAGCAGCTCTGGGACAGTGCCCAGGCCCTGAGTTCAAGTCCCACAACTGGGAAAAAGAAAGAAGATATATGATGTTGTATATGTGTGTGTGTTGTCTGTGTATCTGTCCTGGGGCTTGAACTCAGGGCCTCAGTGTTGTCTCTGAACTGTTTCATTCCAAGCTAGCGCTCTACCACGTGAATCCCAGCTTCATTTCCAGCTTTCGGGTGGTTCACTGGAGATCAGCGCCCCACAGACTTTCCTGCCTGGCCTGGCTTTGAACCGTGATCCTCAGATCTCAGCCTCCTGAGTAGCAGAGATCATAAGCATGAACCACTGGCTCCTGGCTTCAATGTCTCTCTCTCTCTCTCTTTTCTATTCCAGGGGCAACCAGGACCCCCAGGTCCCCGGGGAGAGGATGGGCCTGAGGGACCGAAGGGACCCGAGGGACTGGCGGGTGAGGAGGGCGCCCCAGGCATCGCTGGGGAGAAGGTGAATTAACCTTAGTTCCTTCTGAGCTTGGCCTTTTTTGGGGGTGCTGGGGATGGACCCCAGGATCGCTCCCATGTTGGGAAAGCCTGTCTGTACCCCGCCATCACCCCTTAATAGCTCAGTTGAGCCTCTCAGAACAACGCATGCTCACAGAGTGACCCCTCTCGCCGCCACCTGTGATAACCACCTTTATTATAATTTCATAAATCAGGAAATTGAGATTTTTTTTTGGCCATAATTACAGTGACCTCTCCAGGACCTTAGCTGTCAGCAGGACTTGAACTCACTCTCTCGGCCTCATCTCTAGCTGCTTCGTATTTCCTGAACTTTCCCCTCCGACCTCCGGCTGGCAGTGTCTGACTTTCTGTCTCATCTTTTCTTGGCAGGGCAAACTTGGGGTGCCTGGCCTCCCTGGTTACCCCGGACGTCCAGGACCCAAGGTAAGAAGCCAGGGAAGTGGAGGTGGGCGGACTCAGGAAAGGGACTATGGCTGGGAGGCCAGGCATTGGTTTGTGAGTGGAGCTGTCCAAGTACTGGTGGCTCACACCTGTCATCCCAGCTACTCAGGAGGCTGAGATCTAAGGATGGTGGTTCAAAGCCAGCCCGAGCAGGGAAGTCTGTGAAACTCTTATCTCCAATTATGCACCAGAAAACTGGATGTAGAGCTGTGGCTCCAGCGACAGAGCACTAGCCTTGAGTGAAAAAACAACAACAAAAAACTCAGGGACTTGTGCCCAGGCCCTGAGTTCAAGCTCCACCATGAAACCAAACCCGGCACAGTGATTTGATGTGACTCGGGTGGCTCCATCTACTGAGTCAGTGAGGGGAGATGTATCTGTTTTCTGTCGCTGTAACCAAATGCCCGAGGTTGGGTCCTTTATAAAGTAGAAAGGTTTGTTTAACTCAGTGTTTGGAGGCTGAAATTCAAGATCAGGTTGCCCCACGGATTTGGCCTTTGGCAAGGGTCCCCCTGGTCACACGCTCAACAAGGTGGATGGCATCTTTGGGGAGCACAGTTGCAGCCACCCTGAAGGTGTGATGCCAAGACCTAGAGCTTGTTAGTAGTGAGTTGCTCTGCTGTGCAGCCATGCCCCGTGGCTCAGGCCACGCCCCTGACACCAGGTCCTGTGATTGAGCCCGCCCACTCACACTCTGGCCCCTCCCCCTAGTGACCAGGCCCCACCCCCAGCACTCTAGGCAAACCCGAAACACTGGAGCACTCTTCTGACATTGGGTTTTAGGATTGGACCACGCCCCCAGCAAAAGCCACACCCCCAGCACCGGACCACGCCCCTAAACCCCAGCCACTCTTAGCACAGTACCACCCCTCCCCCCCAAAGCCCAACCATGTTCCCAGTACCAGCCATGCCCACAACTGGGCATGCCCACCCTCTACAGACCACGCCCATTCATAAACCGGCCACGCCCTAACTCTGAGCCACACCCCTAGAATAGGCCTACATCCCTAGTCCTCAGTCCTCAGCCCTGCTTTTTTCTTTTGTGCCAATCCTGGGGCTTAGAGTCTGGGTGCTGTATCTGAGCTTTTTTTTTGCTCAAGGTTAGCACTTTACCATTTGAGCCACAGATCCACTTCCAGATTTTTGGTGGTTCGTTGGAGATAGAGTCTCACTGACTTTCCTGCCCAAGCTGGCTTTGAACCAGGATCCTCAGATCTCAGCCTCCTTTTACAGGTGTGTGCCACCTGTGCCTGGCTCAGTCCTGCTTTTTTTTTTTTGGTCCGGTTGTGGGGCCTGAACTCTGGGCCTGGGTGCTGTCCCTCAGCTCTTCAGCTCAAGGCTAGCACTCTACCACTTGAGCCACAGCGCCACTTCCAGCTTTTTTCTTTTTGCTTATGTGGTGCTGAGGAATCGAACCCAGGGCCTCAGGCATGCAAGGCAAGCGCTCTACCACTGAGCCACCTTCCCAGCCCCTCAGTCCTGCCTTTGTAGAGCAACCCTTTTACAGAACTGCATTAATCCCTTTCCATGGGTCCCAAGGACCTAAAGACCTCTCCTTAGGCTCCACCTCTTAAAGAGCCCCTACCCCAATACTATCACACCCTGCACCAAATCTCCACTGCCTATTTGTCATGGAAGACTCCACCCCAATCAGGTCAGAGGAGAACCCTAAGAAACACAGATCGAACCTGTCTTGACTCAGTGACACCATAAGGGAGAATACTTACACAGTGCTTCCTCTCCTATAAAAAAATGACAGTTGTTTGCCCGTGTTTTTGTGGGTGAGACTTCTCCAATGTCACATCATAGTCATTTCTCATCTGTGTTTATATGAAGTTGTTCGGGAACTTAAAGATTTTGGGAAAGGAATTGGGGTGCAGAATTCTTTCAGAGTACCATGATTTGTGTTCTACATGTAATTTCATCCCCCTCCTTAGCCCCAGCCAAACTTTCTTCCTAGTGATTTTGCTTGAGTTCCCTTAACCATCTTGCTTTTGCAATTTATATTTCTAAAGCTCTGAGAATTTTTTTTGCATGTGAAATCACAGTATTCCCGGCAGCAAATATACAAGACAGAAATAGGATTGGGATTACATTCAGAGCACCGTAGCAAAGTCGACACCTGCCCTTCTGCAAGCAGATGTTCATGGGAATTTGACAGACGCTCCCTGAACAGAGGCTGGCCAGAATCTATTGACTATGGGGCAGGGCATCAGAAGCTCAGCCTGTGCAAAAGTCCTGAGGCAGAAATGTGAGACGTATGTGTGTTGGGGGACACAGAGGAGGGCAATGTGGCTGAAGTGGCCAGAGAAGTGGACAGGGGAAGGGGAGGAGGAGAGATGGCTACTCTGGAACAAGGAAGCCACTGGAATAGCCCTAGAGGAATAGAGCACCTAACTCTCACTTCTTCTATCTCTTCTCAGGGATCGATTGGATTTCCTGGCCCCCTAGGACCATTAGGAGAGAAAGGAAAGAGGGTGAGCTGCACAGTTGGGGGAGGGAAGGGTTTGGGGAGGGGAACAGCATACTTCTGCACACAGTCGAGGGGGGCTCTGGGTGTGTGCAGCCGGGGTGGTAGGTTTAGAAGTTGCTGTGCCGACATCGGTGCTCTGTTTGCTGCCCTTCTTGTTCCGATGGGGTCGCATGCTTTGGTCTGGGGCCATCCACAGACCACAGTCCTTCAGCTCCGTGAAGTTCTGCAGCGCTAGGATTACGGGCGTGCATCTCAATGCCCAGCCTGAGTGTCTGTGGTCTTTTCTTTGTTTGCATGGTTGTGAGCATAAATGGTGTGTGTGTGCGGGCGCGTGTGTAAGCTTGTGAGTAGTGTGTGGCAGACATCTTTGGGGGAGCTGCATTCGCATGTCTGTCATGCTTGGCACCCTACCTCTGCTTTCCCCTCAATGAATGAATTTGCTTTTCAGGGTAAAGCAGGACAGCCAGGCCTGGAAGGAGAGCGGGGGCCTCCAGTAAGACACTTGGTTGAGTCTTGGGAAGGGAGGAGGGTGGAGGGGGCGTGGTGGGCTGAGGAAGGGGCTGGGTCATGGCATCTGGGAGGGAGGTCACCTGCTTTGTTTCCGTGCAGGGTTCCAGAGGAGAGAGGGGACAGCCGGGGGCCACGGGGCAACCAGGCCCCAAGGTAGGAGTGTGTGGGTAACCAAGACCCCCCCAGTCCCTCAGCACCCCCATCCTCCCATTCCAGTTCTACTGCTCTGTGGCTTGAGTCTCTTTTGCTTTCTTCTAGGGTGATGTGGGTCAGGATGGGTCCACTGGCGTTCCTGGAGAAAAGGTGAGAGAGAAAGAGAGAGAGGCAGAGAGAGACAGAGAGAGAGGCAGAGACAAAGAGAGAGAGAGAGAGAGAGAGAGAGACAGAAGCCCAGGGGGCTGGGAAGGTGGCTCAGTGGTAGAGTGCTTGCCTCCCATGCATGAGGCCCTGGGTTCGATTCCTCAACACCATAGAAGCAGAAAAAGTTGGAAGTGGTGCTGAGATCTGAGGATCTCAGTTCAAAACCAGCCCAAGCAGAGAAGTCCGTGAAACTCTAATCATCAATAAACCACTCAGAAAAAGCTGGAAGTGGCGCTGTGGCTCAAGTGGTAGAGTGCTAGCCTTGAGCTGAAGAGCTGAGGGACAGCGCCCAGGCCCAGAGTTCAGGCCCCATGTCTGACCAAAAAAAAGTGGAAGAGCTGGGCACTTGTGGGTCATGCTTGTAATACCTAGCTACTTGGGAGGCTGAGATCTAAGGATCTTGGTTCAAAAACAGCCCAAGCAGAGAAGTCCGTGAAACTCCAATCGTCAATAAACCACTCAGAAAAAGCTGAAAGTGGCCTGTGGATCAAGTGGTAGAGCGCTAGCCTTGAGCAAAAGAAGCCCATGAACATAACCAGGCCTTGAGTTTGAGCCCCAGGACCGGCACATACACACATGAAAAGGAAGACTGACTGAAGTCTTTTTTTTCTCTTGTTCTTTTTCCCTCCCTCCTTCCCTCCCTCTCTTCTTCCCTCCCCTCCCCCTTCCTTCCTTCCTTCTTTCCTTCCTTCCTTCTTTCCTTTTTCTTTTATGCCAGACCTGGGTCTTGAACTCAGGGCCTGGGTACTGTCCCTGAGCTTCCTTTGCTCAAGGCTAGTGCTCTATCACTTGAGCCACAGAGCCACTTCTAGTGTGTGTGTGTGTGTGTGTGTGTGTGTGTGTCTGTAATTGAGATGAGAGTCTTATGGACTTTCTGTCCAGGCTGGCTTTGAACTTCCATCCTCAGATCTCAGCCTCCTGAGTAGCTAGGATGACAGGCGTGAGCCACCAGGGCCTGGCTCTGACTGAGTGCTTGATCCTCCTTCCTCAGCTTCCTGAGTGCTGGGATTACAGGTGTACACTACCACTCCTGGCTGTGTGCTAGTTTGGGATGTGGGGCTCAGGGACAGTGCAGGCAGGAGGAAAATAATAATAATAATAATAATTTCTGATTTCATTTCAAGGGCCTCCCTGGTCTACAAGGCCCCCCAGGATTCCCTGGGCCAAAGGGGCCCCCTGTGAGTGAGCTCACCCTGATTGGTGGGGTCCAGTGGGAGGGGACCTGGAAAGGGAAGCCTTGTACCTACACCCCGACTCTTCTACTTTACCAGGGTCCTCAAGGGAAAGATGGGGTATCAGGGCACCCCGGGCCGAGAGGAGAGTTGGTGAGTGATCCTTTAACCCCTGACTTTACAGAGTCCGTGTTTTCCTCTCCCATGCTCACCCCACCTTCCCTTTTCTCCCCAGGGCTTCCAAGGTCAGACAGGCCCGCCCGGACCCGCCGGTGTTCTGGGCCCACAGGTAAAAGTGGATCCCATGGGTGCCTGTTCCCCCCCATTTTGTACCAGTTGGGGGAACATGGCTGGGAAGGGGATCTCTGATGCAACCCCCATAAACCACCCCCTTAATCACAACGTGTCCTTTTCCTACCTAGGGAAAGATAGGGGACGCGGGGCCTCTGGGTGAGAGGGGCCCCCCAGGGCCCCCGGGACCTCCTGGGGAGCAGGGGCTCCCAGGCCTGGAGGGCAGAGAGGGCGCCAAGGTGAGTGGATGACCCCCACGGGAGACGTTGGGTGACTGTCCCGAAAGTCTCCTTGAGGGAGGTGGAATCTGCCTGTGACTCTAAGGTTGGGGGTAGACACCCCATCTCTGTAGGCTGACCTGTCTCCCTTCTGCACTTCTGCAGGGTGAACTGGGACCCCTCGGGCCTCTCGGGAAGGAGGGGCCACCTGGGCCCACAGGCTTTCCTGGTCCCCAAGGAGCCCCTGGGGATCCCGTGAGTATCATTGGGGTTCCCTCCCTCCACCCCATGCCCGTCCCCACATGTGACTTTGGGGGGTTGGGAAGCAGAGAAGAAGCTCAGGTGGGGAGCTGTGATGGAGGTTCCCTGGGGTCACTGTGGATAAAGCAGTAAGGCTGGGGGGTGCACCGCAGGGAAGACAGGACATGGGGCTCCCTTGGGGGGCTCATAACTGTGGCCTGTTCTTTCCTTCAGGGACCCACTGGTTTGAAGGGTGACAAGGGGCCCCCCGGTCCCATCGGGGCCAATGTAAGTCGAGCCCACATCTATCTGCTGGGAGGAGAGTGGGGTATCATAGAAGCCAGGTCTTGCCAGAGTCATCTTTGGGGTCAGCCAGACCAGAGACACCCAGTTTTGTGCCATTCGTAGGATAGTGTGTCACTCAGAAATCTGAGTGGGGTCAGATTCTGAGTGGGGTCATCTTTGAGGTCAACCAGGCCAGAGACACCCAATTTTGTGCCATTGGTAGGGTAGTGTGTCAAATTGCTATAGCCAGAGTGGCACGGTGGCTCCCGCCTGTCATCCTAGCTACTCAGGAGGCTGAGATCTGAGGATCAAGGTTCAAAGCCAGCTGGGGCAGGAAGGTCTATGAGACTCTTATTTCCAATGAACCACCAGAAAACCAGAAGTGGAGCTGTGGCTCAAGAGGAAGAGAGCTCACTTTGAGCCACCAGTGCCTGGCTGGGTCTCTTGATTAAAAATCAACACAAGCCGGGCGCCAGTGGTTCTCAGCTGTCATCCTAGCCACTCAGGAGGCTGAGATCTGAAGATCACAGTTCGAAGCCAGCTGGGCCGAGGAAAGTCCGTGAGACTCTTATCTCTAATGAACTAGTCAGAAAAACATAGTCGTGGCACTGTGGCTTAAGTGGTAGAGCCTTGAGCAAAAGAAGCTCAGGGATGGTGCCCAGGCCCTGAGTTCAAGCCCCAGGACAGAGGAAGAAGAAGGAGGAGGAGGAGGAGGAAACTGACACAAACCAAAGCCATTACAAGTGTGTCATTTCTGTCTCCACCCCGTTTTCAGGGCTCCCCCGGTGAGCGGGGTCCTGTGGGCCCATCTGGAGGCATTGGGCTTCCTGGCCAAAGTGGAGGTGAAGGCCCGATGGGTCCGGTAGGAGAGAAGGGGTCCCCGGTAAGTGTGCTGCCCATCCCATCCCTCAGCACCTTAGGGTCCTGGCTCGCGCAAATGCCTTTCGGCCCTAACACCCCCTTTTTAATTGCTCCCCCATCAGGGAGAACGTGGATCCCCTGGCCCCACTGGCAAAGATGGGGTGCCAGGACCCCTGGGGCTCCAGGGACCCCCTGGAGCTGCCGGGCCTTCTGGAGAGGAAGGGGACAAGGTGAGGGGCTGGCAGACAAGGGGGGCCTGGAGGGAGGGGATGGGGTGGGAGGGGCTCCATCCTTCCTTCCTTCTTTCTTCCCCAGGGAGAAGTGGGGGCCCCTGGCCACAAAGGGAGCAAAGGAGACAAGGGCGATGCGGTGAGTTATGCGGAGGGGGGGACCCCAGTAATAAATGTCCAGATGGGCTGGGGATGTTTGTCTTGCTGAGGGGGAAGCATGGGGGAGGCTGGTGCTCTACCACTTGAGCCACAGCACCACTTTCGGCTTTTGGGAGGATAATTGGAGATAAGAGTCTCACAGACTTTTCAGCCTGGGCTGGCTTCGATCTGTGATCCTCAGCTCTCAGCCTCCTGAGTAGCTGGGATTACAGGGGTGCACCACCACACCTGGTAGCTAAGGGAATCTTTTTTTAGGGGGGGGAGACTGAGTGCTGTCCCTCAGTTCTTCAGCTCTACCACTAGAACCACTGCACCACTTCCAGTTTTCTAGTGGTTCATTGGAGATAAGAGTCTCATGGGCTTTCCTTCCCGGGCTGGCTTTGAACCAGGATCCTCAGATCTCTGCCTCCTGAGTAGCTCGGATGACAGGCGTGAGCCACCGGTGCCCTGCACTAAGGAAATTTTCTATTCTGTCCTTTCCCCTAGGGCCCACCTGGACCAATAGGAATTCGGGGTCCTGTGGGACACCCAGGCCCCCCGGTGAGTCTCCTTGCTTTGGATCCTCAGTGGGGAGAGAGAACATTTCTCCCCATGACTGAATCAATCCCCACTTTGGTCTCTTTTCCATGGTGCCTTCTTACCATCTCTCCCCAATTTCCTCAAACCTTCTCTTCACATCTGCCACTGAATCAAACCCTGGCCTAGTCCCCAACCCAAACCTTATCTTGAACTTTGGCTTAGAGTCTAGCCTTGCCTTCATTTTCTTTCTTTCTTTTCTTTTTTGTTGGTCATGGGGTTTGAACTCTGGGCCTGGGCACTGTCCCTCAGCTCTTCAGCTCAAGGTGAGAGTGCTCTACCACTTGAGCCACAGCGCCACTTCTGTTTTTCTAGTGGTTTCTGGGAGATAAGAGTCTCACGGACTTTCCTGCCCAGGCTGGCTTTGAACTGGGATCCTCAGATCTCAGTCTCCTGAGTAGCTAGGATGACAGGCGTGAGCCACTGGCGCCCGGCCTTGCCTTCATTTTCTAATGCTATGGTGAGGTCCATGCAAGCCTGCCAGCTCAGGTCTCTGTTCGACTTTTTTTCTTTTTGTCAGTCATAGGCTTGAACTCAGGGCTTAGGGCCTGTCCCTGAGCTTTTTTGCTCAGGGCTAGTGCTCTTTGGGTCACAACTCCACTTCTGGTTTTCTGGTGGTTCATTGGAGAGAAGAGTCTCACGGACTTTTCCTGCTCAGGCTGGCTTTGAACCGAGATCCTTACAAATCTCAGCCTTCTGAGTGGCTGGAATTACAGGCATGAGCTACAAGTGCCTGGCCCAACACATGAACCTTTGAGAGTCACATTTAAGCCATAGCAGACCCAAACCTTAAGCCTGATCTTAATCCTTTCTAACCTCATACAAACCCTTCTCATAGCCATAACCTGAACCCCCAAACTGTCTCTATCAATCCCCATCTCATCTCTCCTCTGAACCCCCAATCACATTCCTTAACCCTAACTTTTACCAGAACCCCAACTCCTAACCAAACAAAATCCCAACCCTTCACCTCAATCCTTACCTTTGATCATTGTTTGATTGGACCCTCAACTCCTCTCTGCCCTTGTCCAGGGGGCTGACGGGGCTCAGGGACGCCAGGGACCCCCAGGCCTCTTTGGACAGAAGGGAAATGAAGGAGTCAGGGGCTTTGTGGGTGTGATCGGCCCTCAAGGCTTGCAGGTGAGTGTCTGAGTTTTGGGGGGTAGGTGGCCATTGTGATTTCCCCATACCCTGGACCCCATATTTGCTTCTTTGTTCCACAGGGACTTCCAGGCCCTCCTGGAGAGAAAGGGGAGGTCGGAGATGTAGGATCCATGGTACGGATTCCCGGGAAAGGAGCGGGAGGGGGGCGGGGAAGCGACCTTTCCATCCATTCCGGGGTTCATTTATAAGGGGTCTTTTAGTTTTGTTTTGTTTTTGGCCAGTCCTAGAGCTTGAACTCAGGGCCTGGGCACAGTGTGTGAGCTTCTTTTGCTCAAGGCTAGCACTCAACCACTTGAGCCACAGCGCCATTTCATGCTTTTTCCTTGTATGTGGTGCTGAGGAATGGAACCCAGGGCTTCATGCATGCTAGGCAAGCGCTCTACCACTGAGCTACCTTCCCAGCATCTTTTTTTTTTTGTGTGTGTGCTGATACTGGGGCTTGAATTTAGGGCCTGGGTGCACTCCCTGAGCTTTTTCTTTTTGTGGGTCGTGGGGCTTGAACTCTGGGCCTGGGCACTGTCCCTCAGCTCTTCGGTTCAAGGCCAGTGCTCTACCACTTGAGACAGTGCCACTTCTAGTTTTGTTTTTGTTGTTGTTGGTTCATTGGAGGTAAGAGTCTTGTGGACTTGGGCTGGGCGCCGGTGGCTCATGCTGTAATCCTAGCTACTCAGGAGGCTGAGATATGAGGATCACGGTTCAAAGCCAGCCCAGGCAGGAAAGCCCGTGAGACTCTTATCTCCAATGAACCGCCAGAAAACCAGAAATGGTGCTGTGACTCAAGTGGTAGAGCACTTGCCTTGAGCTGAAGAGCTGAGAGACAGCGCCCAGGCCCGCTTAGAACTGGATCCTCAGATCTCAGCCTCCTGAATGGCTGGAATGACAGGTGTGAGCTCCTTGTGTCCTGCTATTTCTGGTTATCTAGCTGAAAGTCCCTAGATTGCCCAGAGGGCCCCCCACCCCGTGGACAGCACATACAGGTTGTACACTGCAGTTCTGGGGAGTCATGGGTAACACTGTATCTTCTCACAGGGTCCCAATGGGGCTCCTGGCCCTCGGGGTCCTCATGGCCCCAGTGGATCTGAGGTAAGCAGTCTGGAGGGGGGCAGGATGGCTCAAAGGGGAGGGAAGGGACTGCAGGCTTCCCCCCTCTTACCTGGCCTTCTTGCGTATCCCAGGGCCCACCCGGGCTCCCAGGAGGACTTGGCCAGCCAGGCTCTGTGGGGGAGAAGGTGAGAGAAAGGCAGAGGGAGGGAAAATGGGGGTCAAACCTGCCAATATTGGGGTGTCTGTACCGACGAGCCTTTTCCTCCTCTGCCTTGTCTCTCTTCCTGATCTCTCTTTGCCCTCCACAGGGTGAGCCGGGCGAGGCTGGAGACCCAGGCCTCCCTGGATCTCCAGGCATTCCAGTGAGTATTCAATATGGAAACCCCTAATGCCCTGGCATGTTGGGTGACTCGGTGGTATAGGGCTGTGCAGGCTGAGCACTGTGCGAGGGCATGGCTGGGGGCATCTGGACCAGCTGGGCCCCACACTTCAGTCCCAGCTGTGTCCCTGACCTCTGACCCTGTGTTGCCTTAAGCAACTCTGACCCCCGATCCCAGAAAAGCCCTAGCCCAGCCTGATACCAGCTTATTCCTGTAGAAGCCAGGTCACTCTGACCTCTGGTCTCTGACCTCTGACCTCTGTCTCTGCAAGGGACCCAAAGGTGAAGTTGGCGAGAAGGGGGACTCAGGCCCATCGGGGGCTGCTGGAGCCCCGGGCAAGAAAGGGCCACCTGGAGAAGATGGCTCTAAAGGAAGCATGGTGAGTCTGGGGGCGCAGTAAAGATCGGGGTACACTTCCAGCTAGCAGTCCTTGCTCAGATTTAGTGATCCTGTGAACAACTTAGGACAGGGCTGAGCGAGTAGATGGTGAAAGAGTAAAGCTGGGAAGGAAAGAATGAATAAAGGGGTCGATGGATGAGTCAAAGAACAAAGGAGCGGATGAATGAGGCAGGGAATGAATGGGCGAACGAAGCAATGAATAAGTGGAAGACTGAAGCAATGAATGGATGAATGGGCCAATGAATGAATAAGCAGGTGAATGAAGCAATGAACGAATGCGTGAGTGACATGAGCCACGGTTGCTATGGGGTAAAGGCAATTTCAAACGGCATCATTCTCATCTTGTTGGAAGGTCAAGGTCAAGGCTGGTCCCTGCTGGACGATGTGCAGGTTGAGGTCTGCTTGTCTCTTGGTAGAGCTTGGGGTGCAGGGCCGGGCGCTGGTGGCTCACACCTGTCATCCTAGCTACTCAGGAGGCTGAGATCTGAGGATCACGGTTCAAAGCCAGCGCCAGCAGGAAAGGCCGTGAGACTTTTATCTCCAATAAACCACCAGAAAACAGGAAGTGGTGCTGTGGCTCAAGTGGTAGAGCGCTTGCCTTGAGCTGAAGAGCTGAGGGACAACGCCCAGTCCTTAAGTTCAAGCCCTTACAACCAACTAAATTAATTAATTAATTATCATTAATACTAAGAATAGAATAAATCAATGACCTTTTGCTAACCCAGTGATGTGATTTATGAATCCTTTGTCTTTCAGGGCCCCACGGGGCTCCCCGGAGATCTGGGGCCCCCAGGAGATCCTGGAGTTCCGGTGAGGGTGGCCCCTCCCCTACTACCCAGTGTGCCCCCTAATTCTGTCCCCACCCCACCCACGCCATGTCTCCCTCCCCAGACCTGAGCAAGGTGTGGAGCAGATAGCCCTCACTTTCCCCAATTCTCACGGGGTACACCTTCCCCCCCAATGCTAACTCTTCTTTCTCAAAATCCTGTTAGGGTGCTGATGGCCCCCCTGGGGAGAAGGGAGACGTTGGAGATGTCGGGGGACCGGTGAGTGGGGGAGTGGGGAGTGGGGTTGATGGTGGATACATGAGACCCGGAAGGATGGGCTGGCAGTACCCTGCATTTCCCTCCTCGGGGGGGAACCCCTGAAAGTGTGTAGCTTCTGGGGGGGGGAGGCAAGCAGGGTGATGGTGCCAGGGTGGTGTCTGGGGTACCATGGCTTTGGTGCAGTCCCCCTCAGCTCTCTGCCCTTTCTTCCCAGGGCCCACCAGGAGCTTCTGGGGAACCTGGTGCTCGGGGTTCCCCGGGCAAAAGGGTGAGTGGTACCCACAATCCTGGTGGAGGGGGCGTTCCCTGTCCCCAGAGATGTGCCCTTCAGCCCACAGCCTCACACTCAGCCCCTTCTCCCTCCTCAGGGGCCTCCCGGCCGCATGGGTCCAGAAGGAAGAGAAGGGGAGAGAGGTGCCAAGGTGAGACCCCCCCCCCAATACCCTGGGGAGGTCCTTGCGCTGGGGCAGCATCATGACTTTGTTTTGAGTCAGTCGTGGGGCTTGAACTCAGGGCCTGGGCGCTGTCCCTGAGCTCTTTTGCTCAAGGCTAACACTCTCCTACTTTGAGCCTCAGCGCCACTTCTGGTTTTCGGGTGGTTCATTAGAGATAAGCATCTCCTTGACTTTCCTGTCTGGGCTGGCCCTGAACAGCGATCCTCAGCTCTCAGCCTCCTGTGCAGCTAGGATGACAGGCGTGAGCCACCGGTCACCATTGGTTCCCGGTGACTCTCTTTCCCCTCCTTTGTCTCTGTTCATTTCAGGGAGACCCTGGCTCTGACGGACCCCCAGGACGGACAGGCCCAGTGGGGGCTCGTGGGCCCCCTGGACGTGTTGGGCCTGAGGGTCTTCCAGGAATTCCTGGGCCTGTGGTGAGTGGGGGGGGTGTTGGGAATGTGGGGACGGAGGGAGGTCACAGCTGGGTAGAGCTGACTCGGTGGTGCTAGCTGGGAAGCGCCTACCCTGGTTTTGTTTGGTCCTAGGGTGAACCAGGCCTCCTGGGATCCCCGGGGCTGATGGGCCCTCCAGGTCCTCTGGTAAGAGACTTCTTTGTTCGTGAGGGTCCCACTTTCTGCCTGGGCTCCTGCCTGGACAGCGATCCACCTACTTTTACGTTTCCTGTCATTGCTTAGATGACAGGCGTGTCCCACCTGGCCCAGATTCCTTCAGTGGTGATGGACTCTTGGCAGACTTTTCTATCTAGGTTGGCCTGAAATCATGATCCTCCCAATCTCAGGCTCCCACATAGCTAGAATTATAGGCATGAGCCACTGTGTCCAGTGTCTACACTGACCGCCCACAGCCACTCTCCATCTTTGCATTGCTTTTCTGTTGTGCTTGGGGATGGAACTGAGACCTAGTGTGTGCTAGACAACTGAGCTACATTCCTAACTATGGGGCCACGCCCCCTGCCACAGAGCCACGCCCCACCGCGGAACAACACCCGTACCACCAAGCCACGCCCCTTTAACAAACCACGCCCACTGTGAAGCCACACCCACGGCCTGTTTTTTGTTTTGAGTCAGGGTCTGGGCTGGCCTTGAGCTCCAGATCATTCTGCCTCAGCTTCCCTAGCACTGAGATTACAGGTGTGAACTACTCTACCCAGCATCTTAATGTTCTATCCCTCTTAATGGTCTACAACTGACTACACACGCTGACTATACTCATTGGCCATCTTCCAACCAACCCTCATTATTCCTCCTCGTCCCTCCCATCTCTTGACTGTCCCCTGGTTTTTCCCATCTGAAATGAGGGTAGCTTCACACTGAGAACCCCAAACTGACTCTTGCCTGTTCACAGGGACCTCCTGGCCTCCCAGGGCTGAAGGGAGACTTGGGCCCCAAAGGGGAAAAGGTAAGACCTCCACCTCTCTCTTACCTGGCCAGGGGGCTGAGAGAGTGGGGTGCCCTCTGCTCTCAAACTCCTTACTCCCAAGCGTCAAAGAGAAAAATATGTCTGCATTAGCCGGGCACCGGTGGCTCACCCTGTCATCCTAGCTACTCAGGAGGCTGAGATCTGAGGATCACAGTTCAAAGCCAGCCCAGGCAGGAAAGTCCAGGAGACTCTTATCTCCAATGAACCACCAGAAAACCGGAAGTGGCACTGTGGCTCAAGTGGTAGAGTGTTAGCTTTCAGCTGAAGAGCTGAAGGACTGCGCCCAGGCCCAGAGTTCAAGCCCTACAACCAACCAAATAGATCTATGTTCTTCATGTTCCCTACCCTCCCTTCCATGCCTCTTTTCCCTCTAGGGCCATATTGGATTGATTGGCTTAATTGGTCCTCCTGGGGAGGCTGGTGAGAAGGGGGACCGTGGATTGCCTGGCGTGCAGGGCCCTCCAGGCCCCCAGGGAGACCCCGTGAGTGGGGAGGGGGGGCGGGGACTATGGGTCTGTGCCACCTGGGAAAGCTGGGTCTGGGATGAGGGGAGTTGTGTGTGTGAGGGGAAATAAATTACACCTGTCCCAGAACTTAAAAGTTGGCATTTGGAAGCCAAGGCGCTGGTGCCTCTCGCCCGTAATCCAAGCTACTCAGGAGACTGAGATCTGAGGATCATGGTTCAAAGCCAGCTCGGGCGGGAAAAGTCCATGAGACTCTTATTTCCAATTAAACAGCAAAAGAGTTAGAAGTGGAGCTGTGGCTCAAACGGTAGAGGGCTAGCCTTGAGCCAAATAAAAGCCTGGGAATGGTGGCCAGGCCCTGAGTTCAAGCCCCAATTCTGAAGTGCACACACTCACACACACACACACACACACACACACACAAGGTAGAGTTTGGGGAGGTGTCTGTAGGGGAACTGGAAGCTTGTTTAAGGTTTGGGGTCTGCTTTTGAGGGAACTGAAGATGCATGAGGAGGAATGTAGCTGGGGAATGGGGTGCATCCTCCTAATAGTGCCCCTGATGTCTCTTCTCCAGGGTTCCCCCGGACCCATTGGCTCTTTGGGCCATCCTGGGGCCCCAGGTGTGGCAGTAAGTATGGAGATTTGTGGGGTGGGATCATGGTGGTGAACCAGGACAAGAGCTCAGCATTCTCTGTCTCTACCCTACAGGGCCCTCTGGGACAGAAAGGCTCCAAGGGTTCCCCGGTGAGTAGCTGTGCCCTTGGCTTTGCCATTTCCCGCCGCCCCCCGCCCATTTCACCAGATTCATCTTTGCCCTCTGCATTCTTTCAATTACTCATTCAAGCTTCCATACATTCACCAGTATTTATTCACTGGAGGTGTGGCCAGGGGAGGGCGTGGCATAGGTGTGGGTGTGGCTCGTCATTTAGGGGCGTGGCCCAACTTCTTGGTCTCCTGCTGTGGGCCCACCAGGATAGAGTACCTGCCTAGCAATGGCGAGGCCCATGAGTTCAAACCCAATTCTGCCAAAACAAAATTAACGCCGAAGAAAAAGAAATGGCACCGTCTCAAACTGGCTTTCCCACAGACAAATATTTATTCAACGCGTGACATGGTATTTTATTGAATCTAAGCTGTCATAAATTGTCTGATGGATGTACCATTATTTTATAAACTAAGAAAGAAAACAGCTCTGCCAAGTGAATAATAACTTGCCAAACACAGGAAGATGGTGATTTGGGACATCTGACATGTTGGCAAGAAATTGCACATCGTGTGTGTGTGTGTGTGTGTGTGTGTGTGTG